TAAAAGAACACTTTATATATGTCATTTCATATAATCCTCAACACACATCCCCTTTGAAGATCAGGAAACTGAGACTCAGAAAAATAAGTAACTTGCCTAATGTCACAGCTGGTAAGTACCAGAGCACTTTTGAATTCTGCTCCTAAAGGCTTGGCAGGGAAGATCTGGGGGCAAGGAGACAAAGCAAAGCTAGTGGGTTTCATGTTGATAGTAGGGAGAGTCCCAGACTAGGCCTTGGGAGGCCTTGTCAACTTCCATTCCTCTCTGACCCGCCTTGGGTGCCCCCATGGGAAAGGATTTGAATTCAGCCTAGGCTGTAGAGATGGTGCTAAACATAGGATGTTTCTAGTTCTTTTTTTTTTTTTAAAGGATTTGTTTATTTATTTATTTATTCATACAAGAACTGGAGTACAGGCTAGAAACGCAGGAGGGTAAGAGAATTCACCAGAGACAGCGGGGAGCAGAACAGGCAGACAGGCTGAAAACACTGCTGAGGGGAGCAGCAGGCGAGACAGAAGAGTTCTACTATGCCATATGGGTACCTCCCTGGCTGGCCAGGAATTGAACTGCACTGCAGAGGCTGCAGACAGCTTCACAGCGCTGCTCTCAACCTGCTGTGCCACTGGGGAGGCCCTCCAGTTCATTTCTGACAGCTTCTCTTAAACTCACACTGACTGAACCACGCAGCAGCACGGCTTTGGGCTGGGTCTAAAAACTGGGAAATGAACTTACTTGCTAAGTTTATATATTGCTAGATAGTCTTTCAGAGCCTGGGCTTTGGGATGATGGGGTGTAATAAAAGACGTTAATAGTGTAATCTTTGGATGCTACCCTTAATTTCCTACTTTATGGGCAGGGAAACTGAGGCATGGACTTAGTTCCAAGGAAGACCCTTTTCAGGGTTTTTTTCCAAGTCCTCACAGATAATGTTTGAACTGTGAGGCCTTAACCCTGGGTTTCGTGGTTTTCAGATTGACGCATCATGCCTTACGTGGGAAGGACAACAATTCCAGGGGAAAGCTGCCATTGTGGAGAAGTTGTCTGTAAGTAAGGGCCAGGGCGGGCTGGAGGCAGCTCCTTTCCTGCCCGCTGACCGTGACCCATTGCCGTCTTTCTTTTACAGAGCCTTCCGTTCCAGAAAATCCAGCACAGTATCACAGCACAGGACCATCAGCCCACGCCAGATAGTTGCATCATCAGCATGGTTGTGGGCCAGCTCAAGGTAGCGCTTCTAGGGAGGAGTGGGCTGGCAGAGGAGAAGCCCCTGCCTTCCCTGTGATGTGACTTACTGATGTGTCAGGGGAAAGCTAGACAAAGTGACTGTCTAGATCTGTGTAATTCAATACAGTAGGCACTAGCTACCTGTGATTCTTAAATTACGTTAACTAAAATGAAATAAAATTAAAATGTAGTTCTTTCTGTTGCACTAGCTCTATTTCCAGAGCCCGTAGTCACTTGTGGCTGCCTACTGCACAGTGCAGACATAGAACTTTTATTTTACTGCAGAAAGTTCTGTTAGAGAGCACTGATCTAGCACCTTTTGGAAAAGGGAAGAGATACAGGAGCAGGATGGGACTATGTGCAAGCCTTAGCCATGGACCTTAGCACTGCCTTCCATGCAGGTGGACTTTCTGTAGGCAGCTGACCTTAGACACAACTGGGTGCCCCATAGCATGCCCCTTCTCGAGTGCACACTGCCTTTCAAGCTGACTCTGGCTCCTCTGCCCACTGGGCAGAGCACCTGGAACTCCTACTTCTCTTTCCTTCTCAAGCCTCTTCATCCCTAAGGCAGGTCTCAGAATAATAGACCCACACATCTACTCTGTAGGCTAGCTGGGCAGGGCTTCTTGAGTCTAATATGAGGGCAGAGGGACCTATTTTCTGGCCAGGACTTCCCTGTCATTCTCCTGCCTACCCAAGATGCCCTGCCCAGAGCCTGTGCTCAAACAGATCCTTGGGAATGAGAAGGTCTCTTCAGGAAACTCAGTGTCCATCTTTGCAGATGGGGGTCATTAAGCAGTGTCCCTTCCTACCTGGTTTCAGGTTCTTCCTGAAAGAAGTTGGTGTGTCTGTCCAACTCGGAGCCCCCAAAAGACGATTGCCTCCATGTTGATGATAATTCCCAGAAAAACCAATGATGTTAAAGACAGTGCTGATTAGCTGGGCTCCTACCTCAACTAGGCTTCATCCTGGTCTTCAGTTTGGCTGGAGGTTTCTTGCCTTTCTTTTTTCATTGTAAATGTTATGTATTACATGACAGGAAATAGGGCACATGGGGTGAGGCTTGCTTCCCTCCCTCCCCTCCGTGGAGCTGTGATCACAGTATAATCTCAGTTTTGAGCCTTTTCTCACACACTTGACCAGAGTCAGTATTAATAGCTCTCCTGATTGGGCTAACTGGCATTGACATTGAGATTGTTTAGTTTTTAGATACTGTAAGTTATGTAGTAAGCATTGCAGAAGAACTTTTTTGATTTGATCACCTGTGCCTAGATACATGCGTTGAGAGGCTGGCATGTTCTCTGTTTGTTGCTGCAGCCAACAGGTGAATTGTTCTGCAGTTTATGTACACTACCACTAGGTCCCTGTGTGCCCGGAACAGTGTTTCACACATTCTATCAGTTCACTTTCACAAGTACCCCTTGGCTATCCTGGGATTTGAGTCCTGGCGGTAGGCCCTGATCCCAAAGTTAGCATTCTTTGCCCTGTTTCCCTATCATTCAACTCCCTTCTTATTTCTTGGCCCCTTTACTGAATCGTTTTCTCTTTTCTCACAGGCCGATGAAGACCCCATCATGGGGTTCCACCAGATGTTCCTATTAAAGAACATCAACGATGCCTGGGTTTGCACCAATGACATGTTCAGGCTTGCCCTGCACAACTTCGGCTGACCTCCTCCCCGCCAGGCACTCACGCTGTTTCCTCCTCCCTCCGATTCCTGATACTATTCACACTCCTCCAGATGCTCCAAATATCATACACAAATGAGCAGACCACGGTGGGAGTGGGCGCATGCGCTGCTGCCCCCGAGGTGTTGTGCATGATGTTTGGACGCTAGACTAGTTGCATCTGACAGGAGAAGTTTGTGTTGTACCAGCGCATGCCTTGGAAAGACTTAAGTAATGCAAAGGTTGTCTCTCTCTCTCTTTTTTTTTTAATCTACTGACAAGTTCTAGTAACCCAAAGACGTGAAGGAGAAAGCAGCTGCCTCAACGCCCAGATATTGATTTGTTCAGATGTTTCAATGCCTCATGATACAATAAAACCACAAAAATTTTCTTAACAGTTTAAATTGTTTTAATTAGTTTAATAGATGGCTGGGCATCAATAACTACCCTGCCCCATTGGCTCTCTTCATGCCTCACCCTCCCCAACGCAGCAATATTTGTTGTAGGGAGAAAACTGCTGAAGCAGCACTCCCAGGTAGCTTCTCCAAAGCCCTGTAAGGCATAATATTCTCCTTCCCAGCCCATCTGCTCTTGGGAAATTAAGCTGCAGAGAGGGAGAGCTCGGGTCTGCCTGAAGCTTCCCTTGCATTGAAACCTCTGCAGTCAGTTCTGACACACCTGTGACCTCTGCACTGAGTAGGATCAGGGCTCTAGAAGCAGGAGAGATGACGCTGCATCCCATTGAAGATCAGGCCTTGACAAAAATGGTCAATCAGGTTTAGGCCCTCTGGACTGAGGACTCAAAACCAAGGATAAGCAGAAGTTTGAGGGAGAGGGACCTGCTCTATCCCCAGAAGGGTCAAGGTCACATTCAGGGTGCCCCACAAACCCCAAGCGAAGCAGTAGATAGTTCAGATCCTGTACTACCTGTTTTGGATTATCCAAGCATTGCCTAAAGGCAAATGCCCAAAACCGCCTCAGTGCCCACAGAACCCGGCAATGTTGGGTTGGAGTATAGATTCAGAATTATGAAAGAAGGTAGTCTGCATCTGAGGGAATTTCAGCTCCAATTTTTACCCCTCAGATCTGTGCAGGGCACATCTAAGTCTCTTCCTTGTTTCTTGCCTCACCACACACATACCTTCACACTGTCGCCAAATCCAGAAGTCTTAACTGTTGGGGTGGATTCTGTTCCTCAGTTTTTAGGACAGAAGCCTTGCCCAATGCAAACCTGGTCCTTCAGCCCTGAGACCTCTGGTGGCAAGATAGCAACCTAGGTTTCTGCAAACTAGAACCCCAAACCGAGGACTTGGGCATCATGAGATCCTGTTAGGGGGTTTAGGACTGATGACAACACCATTAAGCCTGATCTAGAAGCAGATAACATCACACGCACCCTCACTGCAAGTGGAGTCCAAGAACTTCCTCAGACCCCCACAGGTTGCCTGACTACATTGAACACAGACTGAATGTGCTGTTTGAGAGGACAGCATACTCAGGAGACTTCAGTGGGACTGATTTCTAGACTGCTGTATACTTTGGGGGGTGGGGGAGAGGTAGGTGCCTGCTGCCTCTTAAACCACCCTGTATAAAATCTGCAATACAGCTTCTTCCATGTACCTGTGCCTGAAATGTCTGCAATAAAGAACTGTTTGTAAGCTGGTGTCTATCTTCTTGTCTGACAGTGCTAGGTTGGGCAAAGGGATGCTGGGGAACATTAGTCAACAATGACTGTGGTGGGATCACCTCTGACTTTGCAATTACTGGGACTTATTTCTTGTGGGTCCCCTCAGGCCTGAGGTTACACCAACCCATTTCCAAAGGTAAACGGAGGCTGTCAGCTCAGCGGGGGCACACACGTGTGTGTCTGTGTGTCTCGTGTCTGCAGCCTGGGTGGACGAATTGACATGTCTATTCTGGGAGTGGCTGTGGACCGGATGGATATCCTGAAGGCTTGTAAGGTTTTGAGCAACCCACTACGAGCACTTTGTTCCATCTCCGCACTGATAAACCCCGAGATCCGCCTGACACGTGCGGAGCCGCCCCGGGGGAGAGGGAAACCAGCGGCCCCCAACCCGGAACCTTTCTTCTCAGCCTCCTGCAGGTTCCGGGAGCCGCTGCTCCGCGGGCCGGAAGTGGAGGCGGTTGGTGGGGTTGCCGGGGCTCAGGGACACGGCGCGGGCGGCGGTTTGCGGGCCGTGGGTGGACCGAGTGTAGGGCCGGCGTCCGGCTGTCCGGCCTTGGCGCGGCTCTGTTGGTGTAGCCCGTGTGCGGCGGCGGCGAAGCGGACCCGGCGCCGACTGGGCGCCTGCGGCTGGGCCCATGGCCTCCTCCTGCTCGAGCATCGACATCGAGGACGCCACGCAGCACCTGCGGGACATCCTCAAGCTGGACCGGCCCGCGGGGGGTGAGCTGGGACAGCCGGGGTAGGAGCTCGGTGAGCGGGCAGAAGGGCGTCGCGGGGCCCGGGGCACCCGCAGGGCCCCCAGGACCGGCTCTTCGTCCCCGCGGCTGCTCAGGGCGGACGAGGGTGGGAGCGGTATATCCCTGAGCATGCTCCCAGAAGGGCGAACGCCCCCGGTGCAAACCCTCCTTATCCTGATCCGGACCCTTCTGCCTCGTCCTTCAGGGGTCTCGGCTGAAGGTGAGGTCCCGTATTGGACTCTGCAGGGGCCCTCTGGTGTACTAGCACCAAGGTCTCCAATGGTCCTGAGACAGACCCGCTTTCCCTACCCTTTTGCTTTAGTTCAGAAGCCTAGTGTGGGCTAACTCTGCCCAGTTCTGGGTCTAGCTCTAAGCCCAGTACTGAGGATCGTGGGGACCCCTCCTGCCCTTCCCTCCAGATCACAGTCTCAGGCCAGCTGTTCTAAACTGATTTTCAGGAAGATGACCAGCCCCAATTCTGTGTCCTCTTTGGGATTACGGCAAATCACAGACTGCAGGGCCCTGATTGGTTTAGGCTACAAACTTCTGCAAACCCTACTTTATTTCTTTTCACTTAAACTTTACTTGAGCTTTCAGTGATACCTCAAAGCTCCTACTGCCCCCCAGGAGCCCCAGAACACAAAGGGCTCACAAGGTTTTAATGTAATGCTATTGTCTTTGAAAGAGAAGAGGGTTCCAGTACCCTGATGGGTTAGGGCCAATGGAGGGGGAGCTGGAGAGTGCCTGAGAGCACGTGTGAGAGAAGAGACAATGGTTAGGTTTTGTAATACAAACAAGGGCTTGGATGCCTGAAAAGGCTTTCTGTCATGAGGAAATAGGCCTTTAAAGGTCTCAGAAGTTTCCTGGCAGGTTTAGGGACCTCTGGGAAGCTGTAATGGTTGAAAGGCTGATGGTGTGGGTGTGCATTGGCCAGAGTTGCGTATCCGTGTTTCCTCAGACCCTGTTCTTAAACCTGTTGGGAGGCCCAAGTTGGCTACTTCTGGAAGCATGCCCTGGCGATCTGCAGTCTGAAACCATGGACCCTTTGCTCCAAGCAGAGCCTGGAGCATGTACTTTCTATTTATTTATTTATAGAAGACTGGGGTACAAGCCAGAGGTGTGGGGGATGAGAGGATTCACCAGAAACAGAGTGGGGAGCAAAACAGGTAGATTTACTGAAATACACTGTCAAGGGGACCAGCAGTAAGACAGGAGAGGTCTGCTGTGCCATATGTGGGTCAGCTCCCTTGCTGGGCATCAAACTCAGGCTATAGTACTGATGGCGCAGAGACTTAACCCCTTCACCACCAGGGAGGCCTGAGTATGTACTTTATTTATGCCTGGTCTTGCTTTGGGCCTCTCATACTTATCAGCTATTGTGCAGACTAGACACCTCAAAGGTTGGCAGAGCCCAGCGTGACCCATCTTGTGCAGCGTGTTATGACCACATGGTAGCCTCCCAAAGGAATAGTGGTCAACTTACCCCTGAGCAGCTATGGTGGCTCTCTTGTAAGTGAAGTAGCCTGGAGGCTTTCCTTAAGAGTCCTTATATAGGGCCTCCCCGGTGGCGCAGCGGTTGAGCGCTGGGTTGCGAAGCTGCCCGCGGCCTCTGCGGCGCCGGTTCGATCCCCGGCTGCTCCCCGGCCACCAGAGGAGGGTCCCACATGGCGTGCAGACCTCTCCTGCCGCCCGCTGCTCCCCTCAGCAGTGTACTTCGGTCCTTCTGCCTGCTCTGCTCCCCGCTCTGGCTCTGGTGAATTCTCTCACCCTCCCGCGCTTCTGACTGTACCCAGTGCATGTATAAACAAAACAAACAAACAAACCAGCAAACAAATAAATAAAGCATGCCTCTATAAAAAAAAAAAAAAAAAAAAAAAGAGTCCTTATATATTGATGGGCACTTGATCCACCTGTTTGCCAAGAATCCTCTCAATAGTCAGATCCCAGACTGCTTTGTGATTAGAAGTCTGCCATGTTCCTGAATGGAGCTCTAGACTCCTTGCCAGCTGGGAGTTTTGAGCTTCTCTCTGAGCCTATGAAGGTCCTGGAACCTCAGCCAACAGCAAACAACTGAAATTCTGGCCTCACTCTGCACCCTCAATAAATGTCCCCCCTTTTTCCAGCTCCTTCATTTCCCTTCCTGCTCAATTTACCTACTCAAGTTGACTTACTATGAGCCATTTCTTTGTGGGGTAGACTCCTACCTTCTTACACCTGCATCTTAGCAGTGTCTCTTCATGCCTTAAATCATTTCTTCTCTAGCCCCTGCTGCTACCTTGGTCTAGGCCCTGGTGTCTCTTGCCCAGATTCTCAACTATCCTGTGTGCTGCTTTAAAACAGTCAACCCCCTGGGTTGAGCTGACCATGTCCATCTTTCCTTTTAAAACTTTTGTGATACTCATTGCCAGAAGAGGAATTTAAGCACCCATCCTCCTACCCAAGACCGCTGCAGCCTTGTTTCTTTTTTGTCCCTCTCATGTTCATGAGTGCTGTCTACCACTGACTTATAATAGCCTCCTTGAGGAAGTCTGTCTTGACCCTTCCCATGCCCTGTCTCAAATGAATGGAGCCCTCTATGCTGACTTGAGCTTCAGAGAGTCTTTGATGGTTTGTCACCTCCCCTTGCCCCAGGTAGAAGAGCCTTGTGCTCATCCTTGGCTCTGACATACGCTGGGTCACCGTCGCTGTTTATGAAACAAGAGGTAAACAAATGGCCCTCCTCCCCACAGACCTGCCTCACTCAGTTGAGTATTCTTAGCTCCTCATGGCACTTGAATGAAGCTCTGCCAGAGGAGAGGCCAGTGGACAGGTGGGATAACCTCCTCAGGGTGTCTCTCTCTATGCCCAGGCCCCAGTGCAGAGAGCCAGCGGCCATCTAACACCTACAATGGGGACCTCAATGGGCTCCTGGTCCCAGACCCTCTCTGCTCAGGTGATGGTACCTCAACAAACAAGCCTGGTCTCCGCGCCATGCCACCTATTAACCTGCAGGAGAAGCAGGTCATGTGAGTGCCTGGAGGGATAACAGTGGTGGTGATGCACTCTTTGGGGTGTCAGCTAGCTGAAGACATGAGTTGGGGAGAAAAAGGGGCCAGAAACCTAAGATGAGGGGCAAGGACTTGGCCTGGATCTGACGTTTGGGCACCTAGTCGAGCATAGACGTAGGTTCCTTCCCAAGGAGGGAGGGTGAGTGAGGGGAGTTGTGGGTCTAGGGACCTCTAGGCCAAGCAAAATTTGGCATTGAGGGCTTACCGCCTTCACCAGGGTAGTCATATGCTCTCCCCTTCCCAATCCTTCCCACTGAGACTTTGGGTGAACGAGAGTCAAGCTTGTGCACCCCCCACCCAGCTGCCTCTCAGGAGATGACAGTTCCACGTGCATTGGAATTATGGCCAAGGAGGTGGAGATTGTGGCCAGTAGTGACTCTAGCATCTCAAGCAAGGCACGGGGGAGCAATAAGGTAAGCACCAGGATATTGTGGCATGTATGGCGGGGGCGGGGGCGCATACTCACCTTCTTCCCCCCATGCCCCGTCCCATGCTGCCAGTTCCTATGGGATTCACCTTGCTAGATAGTAGGGTATCCCAGCTTCAGGAAGTCAGGGTTGGCTGTCAAGTTTCTGTGGGAATCTGGGCTCACATGTGACATGGCCATTCCCAGGGATGCTGGGGATCACCTACACTCTAGGAAAGCTGCCGGGCCCTCAGTTTCTACACTTCTTCTCACCTTTGGTTCTCAGGTGAAAATCCAGCCCGTTGCCAAGTATGACTGGGAGCAGAAATATTACTATGGCAACCTGATTGCTGTGTCCAACTCCTTCTTGGCCTATGCTATTCGGGGTAAGTAGGAGCAATGGGAAAGAGAGAGATGTTCTGCTAGAAACCCCAGAAATGTAGACCCACTGTCAGGGAACTCAGCCTACTCAGACCTTAGGAGTATAATGTACAACTTGTCTATGCTACCCTCCCCTTTGCTGAGTGGGAAAACAGAACTTAAAATTCAGGATGGTGGTGAGGCGGGCATGGCTTCTCTGCTGCTGCCTGGGCCTGGGTTCTCCCTGGTGACTTTCCATTCTTACGATTCCAGCCGCCAACAATGGCTCAGCGATGGTGCGGGTGATCAGTGTCAGCACGTCAGAGCGGACCCTGCTCAAGGGCTTCACAGGCAGCGTGGCTGATCTGGCCTTTGCACACCTCAACTCCCCACAGCTGGCCTGCCTAGATGAGGCGGGCAACCTGTTCGTGTGGCGCTTGGCTCTGGTTAATAGCAAAATTCAGTATCCTTTCCTTAGGGTTGGAGGGGGACTGAAGAAAAGTGGGTGGACCTGGACTACCAGACACACCTCATCATCCACCTGTCTAGCCCTTAACACCCTGCTCAGAGAAGAGATCTTGGTTCATATCCGGCAGCCAGAGGGCACTCCGCTGAACCACTTCCGCAGGATCATCTGGTGCCCCTTCATCCCTGAGGAGAGCGAGGACTGCTGTGAGGAGAGCAGTCCAACCGTGGCCCTGTTGCATGAAGATCGGGTGAGGGGCCATGCATCGGGGAAGAGGAGAGGACAGAGTAGCCATGGTGTGAGCACAGGCTAAATGTGGGCCCACCTGTACCCTCCAGGCTGAAGTATGGGACCTGGACATGCTCCGCTCCAACTATAGCACCTGGCCTGTGGACGTCAGCCAGATCAAACAGGGCTTCATCGTGGTGAAAGGCCACAGCACGGTAAGCCTGTGACTGACTGCTTCCCCGGCCTCTTCCTATGTCCCTCATCTGTTCTCCCTACCCACAGCTGCCCAGGCAGCTTACTGGCACTCCACCCATGGGGACAAAGTGACCCACGCCTATGAAGCTCATCCCTACTGTGGCTGCACCCGTGGGTGTGGTCTTCTCTCTGGCCCCTCATTCATCCTGTCTTTTCCACTCACCACTGGATCTACTGTGGGTCCACCCCACTCACTAGCATTCTCATTTGGGAAGGTCTTGCTTCCACCCAAAGGCGGCAAAGCAAGGCTCTTTGGGTTCTTCCCAGTGCCTAAGTGAAGGGGCCCTCTCCCCTGATGGGACTGTCCTGGCTACCGCAAGCCATGATGGCTTTGTCAAGTTCTGGCAGATCTACATTGAGGGGCAGGATGAGCCGAGGTAAGAAAGGGCCTGAGGGATTAGAACCCCCCCGGGTAAAGGAGCAGGTCACTCAACTTAGGCCCCTCATCTGCCTGCCCGCAGGTGTCTGCATGAGTGGAAGCCTCATGATGGGCGGCCTCTCTCCTGCCTCCTGTTCTGTGACAACCACAAGAAACAGGACCCTGAGTGAGTGAGTGGGCAGGCAAGTAGGTGGTAGACTGGACCTTGGGCCCCCAACAGGGGGGCCCAGCCAGCCACTCAGTGCCTGGTTCCTTTGCAGGGTCCCTTTTTGGAGGTTCCTCATTACAGGCGCTGACCAGAATCGGGAGCTGAAAATGTGGTGCACCGTGTCCTGGACCTGCCTGCAGACCATTCGGTAAGCAGGACTGAGGGGCTCAGCAGGGGCGACGGTGTTGGGAATGAGAGTTCTTCCCGTCTTCTCTGTCTCATTCTTCTTTCCTGGCGACCCCCAGCTTCTCCCCAGATATATTCAGCCCAGTGAGTGTGCCCCCCAGCCTCAAGGTTTGCCTGGACCTCTCAGCAGAGTACCTGATCCTCAGCGACGTACAACGGAAGGTAGCTGCCTTGGGGGCTCCCTGAGCAAAGCTGGTATCCTCGGGAAGGGCGGGGTCGTGTGATCCACCCACAGCCCTCATGTCCTCTGAATTGAGCTGTGAATGCACTGCCGTGCAGGTCCTCTACGTGATGGAGCTGCTGCAGAACCAGGAGGAGGGCCGTGCTTGCTTCAGCTCCATCTCAGAGTTCCTGCTCACTCACCCTGTGCTGAGCTTCGGTATTCAGGTCGTAAGTCGCTGCCGGCTGCGTCACACTGAGGTGTTGCCTGCTGAGGAGGAGACCGACAGCCTCGGGACTGGTGAGCTGCTCTGGTCTGGGATGTGCATTGGTGTGTAGGGGAAGGCCAAGGCCAGAGAGACGGGGACTCAGTCATCCGCACTGTTCTTGCAGATGGGGCCCACGGAGCCAGTGCCATGGAGTCTGCAGCTGGGGTGCTCATCAAGCTCTTCTGTGTGCACACCAAGTGAGTCTGGGAGAGGACCCTGCCCCTCCCCACTCTTCTAACTCTGGTCCCCCTTTTTTTCATTTATTTTTAATTTATTTTTTAAAGATTTATTTATTCATGCATACAAGAGCTGGGGTACAGGCTAGAGATGCGGGGGGTGAGAGGATCCACCAGAGACAGAGCGGGGAACAGAACAGGCAGACTGACTGAAATACACTGCTGAGGGGAGGAGCAGGGAGACAGGAGAGGTCTGCTTTGCCATGTGGGTTCCTCTCGGGCTGGCTGGGATCGAACTCATACTGCAGAGGTTGCGGATTGCCTCATAGTGCGGTGCTTAACCCCTTGGGCCACCAGGGAGGCCCACCCCGTTTTTTTTATAGATGTATTTTATTTATTTATGCATACAAGAACTGGGGTGTAGGGGCCTCCCCGGTGGCGCAGTGGGTTGAGCACCACGCTGTGAAGCTGTCCACAGCCTCTGCAGTGCGGGTTCGATTTTCGGCTGGCCAGGGAGATTCCCACATGGCGCTGCAGACCTCTCTTGCCTCACCTGCTGCTCCCTCAGCAGTGTATTTCAGTCACTCTGCCTGTTCTGTTCCCACTCTGCCTCTGGTGAATTCTCTCACCCTCCCACACCTCTGGTCTGTACCTCAGTTCTTGTATAAATCTTAAAAAAAAAAAAGAACTGGGGTGTAGGCTGGAGGCCCGTGCCACCATGGAGGCCCTAATTCTGGCCCCTTTGAATGCTTCCACCCTCCGCTTTCTCTTCCTGCAGGGCATTGCAAGATGTGCAGATCCGCTTCCAGCCACAACTCAACCCTGATGTGGTGGCCCCACTCCCCACCCACACTGCCCATGAGGATTTTGGTGAGTGAGGTGTGAGAGGGGAACAGGTTAGACTGACGGGGGTCCAACATCTGACTCAAGTGGCAGCTTTCCTCACAGCATTTGGAGAGTCTCGGCCTGAACTGGGCTCTGAGACCCTGGGGTCAGCCTCTCACGGCTCCCAGCCTGACCTCCGCCGTATTGTGGAGCTGCCTGCACCTGCTGACTTCCTTAGCTTGAGCAGTGAGACCAAGCCCAAGTTGATGACTCCTGACGCCTTCATGACACCTAGCACCTCACTCCAGCAGGTATGCTGGGGCAGGGACATGGGGTTCAGGGCGGGGCGACCTGGGATGCCCACCCATGAGCCATAGCCCTCATTCTCGGCTTCTTCCCAGATCGCTGCCTCCCCTAGTGGCAGCAGCAGCAGCAGTAGCAGTAGCAGCAGTAGCAGTAGCAGCAGCAGCTCTTCTCTTACTGCTGTCTCTGCCATGAGCAATACATCGGCTGTGGACCCTACCTTGCCCAGGTGAGACAAGGGTCACCGTTGGGGGCTGGTACCAGCTGATACCTGAATGCTGATACCTCAGCCTTCTTAACACAGGCCACCTGAGGAGTTGACCTTGAACCCTAAGCTGCAGCTGGATGGCAGTCTGACAATGAGCAGCAGCAGCAGCCTGCAGGCAAGCCCGCGCAGCCTTCTGCCTGGCCTGCTCTCGAGCCCTGCTGAAAAATTGACTCCCAAGGGATCTGGGCAGGTGCGTGTGGCAGGTGTGTGTGTGTGTGTGTGTATGTGTGTGTGTGTGTGTGTGTGTGAAGTACAGGCTAACAGGTGGATGGCAGTGGGAAGGTTGCCCACAGTGTCCCCCCAAGGCATTCTGTTTGCTGGTGCTGCTCTGCCTCAGGTGAGCCTTGTATCCTCCTGTGTTCCCTAGAGAGCAGCTCCTCTGGCTGTCCATCCCCACTTCTGCTCCTCCTGGACCATGGCCGTTTTTCACCTGCATCCCCATCCCTCTGTTCCATCTCTTCTCATTACAAATACCAATGTTTGGTTTCTGTGCTACCCTCACCCCTACTTCACACCAGCTAAGTCTCCATCTTTGGCCCATCTCAGGTGTCTGCTGCTGCCTCTGCACTGTCCCTGGAGCTGCAGGAAGTGGAGTCTCTGGGGCTTCCGCAGGCTTCTCCCAGTCGCACCCGCTCCCCTGATGTTATTTCCTCAGCTTCCACTGCCCTCTCCCAGGACATCCCTGAGATCGCATCTGAGGCCCTGTCCCGAGGCTTTGGCTCCTCTTCTTCTGAGGGTCTTGAGCCAGACAGTATGGCCTCAGCTGCCTCAGCGCTACACCTGCTGTCCCCAAGACCCCGCCCAGGGCCTGAACTTGGTCCCCAGCTTGGGCTGGATGGAGGCTCTGGGGAAGGGGATCGGCACAGTACCCCTTCCCTCCTAGAGGTGGCCTTGACTCAGGAGGCCACAGCCCCTGACAGTCAGGTCTGGCCTACAGCACCAGACATTACCCGTGAGACCTGCAGCAGTCTGGCAGAGAGGTGAGAAGCTTGCGAGAGGGGAAGTGTGTTGATGGTAGGGATGTCAGATAATCACCCACTGCTGAGTTGGCCTGTTCCCCCAGCCCCAGAAATGGCCTCCAGGAAAAACACAAGAGCCTGGCTTTCCACCGACCGCCTTATCTGCTGCAGCAACATGACAGCCAGGATGCCAGTGCTGAGCAGAGGTGGGTGCCTCCTACTCCGTGCCGCTCACGAGGGAGGGCCAGCAAGTGGATGGCGCTTATCTCAGTCCCTCCCCATCCAGTGACCACGATGATGAGGTGGCCAGCCTTGCCTCTGCTGCAGGGGGCTTTGGCAGCAAAGTGCCCACTCCCCGGCTACCTGCCAAGGACTGGAAGTCTAAGGGATCCCCTCGCACCTCACCCAAGATCAAGAGGAAGGGCAAGAAGGATGATGGGTAGGAGGGAGTCCTAGGGCCAGGGAGAGGGGTGGTTCCCCTGCTGCCTGCCTGGTGTGGTCTGAGGTGCTTCTTGACTATGGCAGGGATTCAGCTGTGGGATCCCGGCTCTTGGAGCACCAGGTAAGTGGACAAATACCTTTCTACTTCTAGGACTCCTCCCTGTGAGGGTGGGGACAGATCTGGGGCCTTTCCCTGGTTTGGTGTATCGGGATGGGTGGGTTAGGCATCATTGGATGGTGCTACTCACAGGTGGCAGAGCCCCCTGAGGACTGGCCAGCAATAATCTGGCAACAGCAGAGAGAGCTGGCAGAGCTGCGGCACAGCCAAGAAGAGCTGCTGCAGCGTCTGTGCACCCAGCTTGAGGGCCTGCAGAGCACCGTCACAGGCCATGTAGAACGTGCCCTAGAATCACGGCATGAGCAAGAGCGTATCCTTGTGGGTAGTGGCACAGCATGGCATAGGGGTGGGAGCAGTGGCTGCTGCAGCTTTCTTGACTGGGGAAGGGATATGGGATGTGCTCTAGGCCTGTTCCTTGACTGTAGTGCAGAGCGGCGGCTGGAGCGGGCACTGGCTGAGGGGCAGCAACGGGGTGGGCAGCTGCAGGAGCAGCTGACCCAGCAGCTGTCCCAGGCATTATCTTCAGCTGTGGCTGGACGCTTGGAGCGTAGCATACGGGATGAGATCAAGAAGACGGTGCCTCCCTGTGAGTTTTACGTGGAGACTTACGGTGGGCCAGGTGGGAGGGGTCCCTACCCGACTGGCTTTCTCTCATGGCTCCACCTCTCCCTCCTCACCCTGCTCCAGCTGTCTCTAGGAGTCTGGAGCCTGTGGCAGGCCAACTGAGCAGTTCAGTGGCCACCAAACTCTCAGCTGTGGAGGGCAGCATGAAAGAAAATATCTCCAAGCTGCTCAAGTCCAAGGTGCTCAGGGCCCCGGATGAGGGTGGTTGGTGGACCCGATCAGGCCAGCTTGGGCTCAGGCTTTCAACTCCGCTCCTCTCTCTCTACCCAGAACTTGACAGATGCCATCGCCCGAGCAGCGGTGGACACATTACAGGGGCCAATGCAGGCCGCCTACCGTGAGGCCTTCCAGAGTGTGGTGCTGCCTGCCTTTGAGAAGAGCTGTCAGGCCATGTTCCAGCAGATCAATGATAGCTTCCGACTGGGCACACAGGAGTGTGAGTGAGGTTTTATGTCCCAGGTCGAGAGGGACTGTCTCTCTCCCCACCATCCCTCTCATGGCCCCTGTGTCACCTCACAGACTTGCAGCAGCTAGAGAACCACATGAAGAGCCGTAAGGCACGGGAGCAGGAGGCGAGGGAGCCAGTGTTGGCCCAGCTGCGGGGCCTGGTCAGCACACTGCAGGGTGCCACGGAACAGATGGCCGCCACTGTGTCCAGCAGTGTTCGGGCTGAGGTGCAACACCAGCTGCACGTGGCTGTGGGCAGGTGTGTGGGTTGGGCACTGGATAGGGTGTTGGGTTTGGAAAGGTCCGTATTCGATTCCCTGTCTGCCTCATCTCTCTCTTTTCCCTTTGCAGCCTGCAGGAGTCAATTTTAGCACAGGTACAGCGCATTGTTAAGGGTGAGGTGAGTGTGGCACTCAAGGAGCAGCAGGCCGCCGTCACTTCTAGCATCATGCAGGCTATGCGCTCAGCTGCTGGCACACCTGTCCCAGCTGCCCACCTCGACTGCCAGGCTCAGCAAGCCCATATCCTACAGTTGCTGCAACAGGGCCACCTCAACCAGGCCTTCCAGCAGGTACGCCAGGCATTAGGTGCAGTTAGGGGTCAGGTGTCTCCTGACAAGGCCATACCATACATTCCACTCTACCCATCAGGTTCCAGACACTCTGGCCCCAGGGGACTGATCTTGGTTCTCCTTTGCCTCTAAGCCATTTCCCCTGCTTTTCCCTCTGCCTGGACCCTGAATCTCTTTCTTTCTACCTCAACCCAGCTTGCTTCTTCACCATCCCCCACAGGAAACCTCTTCTGAGTCAATAGAGTAACACAGCCTGACATTGCTGTCTCTGGACCCCTGAGCATCTCTGCTCTGGAGCCCTCAGTACCTACCTCTGTGGTCATCTCCCAGGCCCTGACAGCTGCGGACCTGAACCTGGTGCTGTATGTGTGTGAGACTGTGGACCCTGGCCAGGTTTTTGGGCAGCCACCTTGCCCACTCTCCCAGCCCGTGCTCCTTTCCCTCATCCAGCAGCTAGCCTCTGACCTTGGCACTCGAACTGACCTCAAGCTCAGGTGAGTGGGTACAGTCAGGGACCAGGAGACAGTCTGGGGTGAAGGTGGGAGAGCATTTCAAAACAGATACTCCTACCTGACCACCCCCTTCCTAATTTCTGCCCCAATCCCTTCTGCCCTCCCACCTTCCCTGTCTCAGGTGACCGCCCTCTGGGCCTCAGTGCCACCAGGGGGCGCTCCCATCTGCTGTCACCTACCTGTAACCCTTCCCTTTCCTCCACCTCCAGCTACTTGGAAGAAGCAGTGATGCACCTGGACCACAGTGACCCCATTACTCGGGACCACATGGGCTCCGTCATGGCCCAAGTACGCCAGAAACTCTTCCAGTTCATGCAGGCCGAGCCACACAATTCACTTGGCAAAGCAGCCCGGCGTCTCAGCCTCATGCTGCATGGCCTTGTGACCCCCAGCCTCCCGTAGCTAGCCTGCCTTGCCTAGGAGTGAGGTGGCACTGGAGGCCAGCAGACAGGCCTAGGCCGTGACGGGTCAAGCCTGCCCCTTACCTGCTCAGGCTCCTACATCTGGAGTGCTGGGGCGGGGGGCAAGGTTGTGGTAGCCAGCTGGTTTAGGTTGGGCTCAGGGTGGGTATTGTGCCTTCTTGGGTTCTGCCATGCCTGGATCATGACCCTTACCCCCACACCTCCCGAGATCGTGACGCCACTTGAGTTGAATTTTCCATGTTCCTTTTTACCTCTGATTTGGATCTTTTTGTTTTTGAGAAACATTGAGAAATTCAATTAAATGCTTTTGGAATAAAATGGAGTATGTGTGTGCTTTTGGTGTGATAACTGCCCTCTGTTCCTTGCCGGTATTCTCCGTGTGTGGAATTCTGTCTAGGCTAACCCACCCCACGGGCCTGGACACCCACCCTCACTTGCACAATTGCTTCCCAGATAGTCCATCTTCATCACTGGGTTAAAGTCATCTCAATGCTCAAATTCTGGACTTCCAGTTCAGGACTTCAAGCTTTAACGCTACCTAACAACGCCCATGGGAGAAGGGGGCGGGGCTACTGGGCGCACAAAAACCACGCCCTCCCTTCCTCCCATCCAATCACAGCCTCTCCTTTTGGGGGCTGGGCTGAGGGCTGCGCTCCAAGTCGCTTCCTGGCTTTGGCACTAGCCTCCCAGGCTGGGATGATGCGCTGCTGCTGCTGCCGCTGTAGTCGCCACCGCTGGCGACCACCCCGCGCGCTGGGGCTGTTGCTGCTGCCGCTGCTGCTGCCATTCGGTGAGTGCAGGGGTGTTGAGCCCAGCCGGAGCGGCACACCCTCTGGTCGTGCTGAGTGTGGGGTGTGTGGGGCGTGCGGCTTTGCTGGAAGCCAGTGTGGACAGGAGGTGCGAGTGTTCCAGAGAGGGGAGAAAGTGTGCCAGTGTCTTCAGGATGGAAAGTGAGGGGCATGAGCTGAGCTCTGGTTGTGGGAGAAAGACCCTAAAGTTCTGCAGCCCCCATTCTGGTACAGGAAGACGAAGTTCTGGTGGAACTCCCGCAGCTGCGGTGGAATCCGTGAGATTCTCTGTTAGGTTCTGGCATGGATCCGGCCAACCCCTCTATTCTGCCCTACCTATCTGAAAACACTTGTCTTTGGAACAAGGTGGGAGGGCCAGCAAAGCTTATCTGGGCTACAAAGAGACTGGATTGAGTAGAGGGAGAGGAAATCCCAGACGCTGGCCCCCTCACCTTCACCGTGGCCTGACTCCTCTTCCACCATCCACCATTCTCATCCACATCAGAGGCAGAGCAGATCCCTGGGATGTTATTCCCCATCCCCGAAGTATTTATCTGGGGGGGCCCCATCAAAGCAAACCAACAGCAGGTGGTCCCTAGATATGCCCTTTAGTTCCCTGGGGTGCCCCTTTCACGCTGAGTCACGTCCCCAGAGCACACCTGGGTAAACAAGCCCCAGGGGCTTGGGGGATGGCGGCTCATCCTGTTAACTGTTCTCCACACCCACCACCAGTCCTTGCATCTCCCCTGGCAGCAGCCGCAACGGGCCCAGGCCGCTGTGACAACATATACCAGGGCTTTGCTGAGTGTCTCATCCGCTTGGGAAACGACATGGGCGGCGGAGGCGAGCTGGAGACTGTCTGCAGGTACGGACAGCTGAGGGCAGGTTGAGGGCAGCCTGACCCCCTGCCATCCTAAAGAACCGAACCCCTTCCTTTCCCATTCCAAGGCCTCTTTGCCCACTTAATTTCCCTAAACTCACACCTTTAACAGGTCTTGGAATGACTTCCATGCCTGCGCCTCACGAGTCTTGTTGGGCTGTCCAGAAGAGGCAGCCACCGTGTGGGAGTCACTACAGCAAGAAGCTCGCCGAGCCCCGCACCCTGATAATTTGCACGCTCTGTGTGGAGCCCCTGTACACGTTCGTGAACGTGGTGCAAGCCCGGAGACCAACCAGGAGACGCTTCGAGCGACGGCACCTGCAACTACCCCGGTCCCCACACCCACGCTGCTGGCAGCTGCTCTGGCGCTTGCCTGCCTCCTGGGGCCTCTGGCCTAGCCACCCCAGGGGGCTAGCTAGCAGCTCCCCTGCCTGTAGCTTGCTCTGGCTCTGGTGGCTGCCTTTTGGGCTCTGCTGAGAATGCTCAGCTTTCATTAAAAGTATTTATATTTGTACTAAGCTCATTCCTTTCTTCCGGCTGCAGGGGCTTGGCAGTGCCTAAGGTTTCCAGAGCTGATTCCCTGGACAGGATGGGCGGGTCCAAGGCCCTCACCTGGGACTCAGTCTTTTTCCTTCCAAACACTCATTCTCCAGGGGCTACACAGAGCTTTCCATTGCGTTCAGGTCCCAGTAGCTCTGGTGGGGACCTGAGATCTGCTGGAATGCACAGCCTTTCTTTGTTCTCCTGGGCTAAACTCCTGGTCCTGCTTGCCCCTCTAATCCTGGTCCCCAGGGGCTTTGTGAGGTTATGGACCCCCCCCCCCAATCTCACTTCCTTCTCCCTTTGCTGAATTACTACCTTAGCCTTCAAGACACAGCTCTGACTAAGTCCTCTGTTCTCTCCTTCTCTGTGTTTCTATTTTTTTTTAAATATTTATTTATTTATGCATACAAGAACTGGGGAACAGGCCAGAGGTGTAGAGGGTAAAAGGATTCACCAGAGACAGAGCGGGGAACAGAACAGGCAGACTGACTGAAATACACTGCTGAGGGAGCAGCGAGTGAGACAGGTGAGATCTGCTGCTCCATGTGGGTAACTCCCTGGCGGGCTGGGGATCAAACTTTTGCTGCAGAGGCTGTGGATAGCTTCACCAGTGCTGTACCTAACCCCTTGCACCACTAGGGAGGCCACTCTGAGTTTCTATTGAGGGGAGCCTATCCCTAAAAGATGGGAGCCCCTTTTAGAGGATATATTCAAGTACCTGAGGTGACTTAGAGCTGCAGAAACGGGGTCACATTGAAGGTTCCTTTTGTTCTCCAAACTTTGCTTTTTAAGAAGAGATGTGAAGACAAAATAATCCAAGAAGGTTTTCTGCAAGCATGGGATGAGTGTGTGAAGTGTGAGGAGACTCATCCTGGTGGAGAGAGAAAGCAGGAATATGCATGGGCAGAATTCTGAGGGAAGGGGGAAACCACAGAGAGGGTGAGACTCTTTTGATCCCTCCTCCACTACCTCCACCACCAGCATCCCATTCCCCACGACTTGTGCGGGCACTGCCCTGCCATGGCTTCCTTGTGACTTCTGCTATCATATCACTCCCTCCATTTTATTCTCCATTTTCTGAGTTGCAGAACGGTTCCTGAGATTAAGCTTCTTCTAATTGTCGACAAGGCTCTACATAAGCCAGCTCTGCCCACAGTTTATTTAGTTCACTCCTGCAACACAGAGGAGTGATTTACCTACCCAGCCCTTGGAGCCCAGGGAAGCTTCAGAGAAGGAGCACTCACATAGAGGGTGATAGGATGCAAGACTGAGCCTCCCTGGTGGTGCAGGGTGTTGAGCGCAGCACTGTGAAGCTGTCTGCAGCCTTTGTGGTGCGAGTTCAATCCCTGGCCAGCCGGCAGCAACCCACATGGCATAGCAGATCTCTCCTGTCGCCCGCTGCTCCCCTCAGCAGTGTGTTTCTGTACAGCTGTCTGTTCTGCTCCCTGCTCTCTCTGGTGAATCTTCTCACCCCCTCTGCAACTCCGGCCTGTACCCTACTTCTAAAAAAAAAGAGAAAAGAAAATAAGGATGCAAGATTTAAAAATGATGGAGAGGGGGTGGGCTGAGTTGGAGAGGGGCCCAGAGGAATCAGCCGGAAGGGAGAGGTGGGGGTGTTCAGAGTTACGCAGGCCAGCTTTACACTAAAGTCTGTGCTGGGTGAATCGGGTCTGATAGGACCCGTGTTTAGGCTCCAGGGTGAAAGGTACGTCCAGAGACCTCTGCCTACATGTGTACGAGCCCCTCTTCATCCCTGCTTTCCAAACATCCTCCCATTCCAGCTAGCTCAGATGCTACAAATAACTCCCTCTCTGCCCCGACTCTGTCTTTGCTCCCATGCTTCACTCACCTGCAATTGTATCCTTGCTTCTCTCCCAAACAGTCATTACCCGTCTTTGCACATCACCTGAAAAAGAAATTAGGGACCCCCCTCTCAGATCTGTTCCTTGTTTTGACCACCAGAATTATCCAGAAGAAAAAGCAAGCCTTTTATTCCTCCGAGTCTTTGTGATATCTATTCTCTGTGCTCAGAATACCTTTCCCCATTTCCTTCTGGTGAACTCCTACTTCGCGTTCAACATCACCTCCTCCAGGAAATATTCCCTAACTCTGACTCCAAGCTGAATCAGAAGCCTCCTACAGGTTCACACACCTCCTAGGCTCTCTTCTGTCTCAGTACTAACAGTACCTACTGGTTGTTGTTTGAGTTTGGGTCAGAATTCCCCACCATAAACTATCCAAGGGTGCTCTTTGTGTGTCTGGTACCCATCGTAGGGCTGGGGAGAGAGGGCACTTGTAGGAGTGTGTGGAATGAGAGAATCAATATTTTTTTTTAAGATTTATTTATTTATGCATACAAGAGCTGGGGCACAGAGATATAGGGGGCGGAGGTGTGAGAGGATCCACCAGAGGCAGAGCAGGGAACAGAACAGACAGATCGACTGAAATACACTGCTGAGGGGAGCAGCGGGCCAGTCAGGAGAGGTCTGCTGCGCCATGTGATTATCTCCCTGGCTGGAGGATCAAACTGCAGAGGCTATGAATTGCTTAAAGGTGCGGCGTTTAACCCCTTGTGCCACCAGGGAAGCCAAAGAGAATCAATCTTAAGTGCAGCATAGGAAGTCTTACAGTTAGCAAGAGCTTGGACGGAGAATCATCTCATTGTGGAGGAGTCATCTAGGGGTGGTCCCCTCAAACTGGGCGTACTAATGGGAGGGATAGGGCTGGGACCGTAGACCCCAAAAGTCTTCCTAGACCCACTCTTCCTGGGCAGCCAGGAGTAACTTGCCTCCAGAATCAGGGGCCTGGAGGCTCTAGCCAGCCATCAGGGGGATTACTATCCTCCTTCTGTGACCTACTTTCCCCTGGTTTTGCTCCCTAAGTCCCTGGAATTGAGTGACTTGGGGGTGGGGGTGGGGACAGAATCTGCTCTCTGACCAAGGGCTTAAAAGCTTTGTGTTTTTTTATCCCAGATCTGGAGGAGAGGGGTGGGCTGACAGCCAAACTAGAGCTGCCCAGGCCAGAGCATTCTGGTGATGGTGTTTCTCACATTTGCAGCTCTATGGATATGTAATAGCTTATTGTTCTGGGGTGAGCCTGTCCTGAACACAGTTCCCTCTGTGTCAGCATATCTCTATCTTGGGCCTCAAGTTCTTCAGCAGCATCTGCTCAGCATCTGCTCATAGCAATAAATATTTGTTGAATTAATTTGCTGTGTGTCTGTGAAATGGAGGCACAGTGTGTATTTTTAAGACTCATCAACTCTGGAGTCTGTATTACTTTTAAGCCTCACAATTCTGTGGGGTCAGGATTATGATCCACATTACACATGAGAAAAATGAAGCTGAGGGGAGGTGTTTCACCTAAGGTCACACAGCTGTGGAAATGTCAGAGCTGAGATGATCAGTTTTTTTTGGCCCCAGAATCCATGCCCTTAATCATCACATTACACTTTTGGAGCAATTTTAATAATTTTGCAAATGCTACTACATAAAGCAGGCAAAATGTTTTTTTTTTTTTTTAATAGAGGCATGTTTTATTTATTTATTTGTTTGTTTGTTTTGTTTATACATGCACTGGGTACAGTCAGAAGCGCGGGAGGGTGAGAGAATTCACCAGAGCCAGAGCGGGGAGCAGAGCAGGCAGAAGGACCGAAGTACACTGCTGAGGGGAGCAGCGGGCGGCAGGAGAGGTCTGCGCGCCATGGAGGACCCTCCTCAGGTGGCCGGGGAGCAGCCGGGGATCGAACCGGCGCCGCAGAGGTCGCTGGCAGCTTCACAACCCAGCGCTCAACCGCTGCGCCACCGGGGAGGCCCCAGGCAAAATGTTTTATTGGTGTCAATTCAGTTACACGTTTAAAGTGTAACATTAATTTATCCAGTCAATTACAGACAGTCCCACGTATATAAAGTAAGTGCTCGGTAAAGATTTGCTGAAAAAATTAAGACTGAAATGAGGAAGATGGGTGAGGTTACAATCCTATTACCTGCAGCATCTATCCCCTCCTTCAATTTGGGTTTACTGTAAAATGTGAGACAATTCTGATGCTACAGGTCAGATTATGTTTTACCAATTCTCTGTCAGTGGTAACTTTTTTAAAAATTCACTTAATTTGGAGCCCCTGGATATACTCAAATTCAACAATAAAATTAAAAGCGAAACCCTGCTATTTCGAAGTTGGTCAAGGGCTGATTTCACCAGTCCTCAAGTTAATCATTTGTAACTCCGCTGTGATGGAGGCCAAATTTAACACATCTGAACGCCTGGATTACTTGAACTGCATTAAAAAAAAAAAGGTGTTAGTAGAATTTCAATCAGTTCTTTCCGGAATTCTAGAGGCGCTAGAGCCCTCTGTTGAAAGGCACTTCAGAGGCCTCCCCAGTGGCACCGTGGGTTGAGCTCAGCGCTGTGAAGCTGTCCGCAGCCTCTGCCGCGTGGGTTCGATTCCCGGCCGGCCAGGGAAATACCCACATGGCGCGGCAGACCTCTCCTGCCTCGCTCTCTGCTCCCCTCAGCAGTGTGTTTCTCCTGCCTGTTCTGCTCCCCGCTCTGTCTCTGGTGAATCCTCTCACCTTCCCCCGCCTCTGGTCTGTACCCAGCTCGTGTATAAATAAAAAATAAAAGAATCTTAAAAAAAAAAAAAGGAGAAAGAAAGGCACTTCTGCCCCAAGCCCCCACGAAAGAACGCCCTCTTCCCTAAACAGAAACTTGAAACTTTCTCCCCACTTCCCGCGGGTCCCCCTTTCCCTAACACTGGTCCCGCCCAATCTTTGAGCGACGGGCAGACCCCCCGCAGCTGCGAGCCGGACCCCGCCCCGAAGGCCTTGATTGGCAGCCCCCGCTCGGCGCGCCGCCAACCCCGTAGCCCGGCGCTCCCGAGGGTCCGCCCCCGCCCCGCCTCCTGGGCGGCCCGGGTTTGTTTTGGCGTCAAGCGCGCGCTGTGATGACGCCACGACGCTAACGCCTGAGGATGGCGGCGGCGGCGGCCGTGGCCGCGGCCCGGAGAGGGTCAGCACAGCCGCCGAGATGCCGAAGAGCCCGCCGCCCGCGCGAGGTGAGGCGGCTCGGCACGGGGCGACGGCCCGGTGGGCGGGAGGGGCTGACGAGCTGCGGCCGCGGTCGCTGCCGGGCGCACCGGGCCTGTCCCTGCCCAGCCCGCAGCTCTCGGCCCGTGCCCGACGCGCCGGGGCCTACGGGGCAGGGGAGCGGCCGGGCGACGGCTGCTCGGGATCCCCTGGACCGGAGGTTGCTCTCGCCTCGAAACGTGCCTCTCACGGAGCCGTTCATCTCGGGCGCGCGGGCCTGCTGGACGTGGTCAGCTGCCCAGTCTGCTGTTCCGACGGCCGGCATCGGCCCCGGTCCACTCACCCGGTTGTCTCCCGTCTGTGTGGTGTCGGGCGCCGACGCCTCACTCCTCTGAGACAGGACGCCAGGGGCTGGCGAGCCCGTGGGTTCCTTCCTTGCTCCGTCTGGGCAAAACCAGGCTAGAGTACAACCGGCTCACACGCTTATCGCTGGGCAGTCGTCCCCACGCTTGTCAGGGGAAGCTGACCCTCCCTCCACATTCAGCCCGCTTCAGGAAGTCGCTGAAGTGATAGTTCCCACCTGGAAAGCTGAATAAGTCATTCATTGTCTAAAAACTGGCTCCTCGGTGCCTACAGGATAAAGGACGAGGTTTTCTGAGCAAGGCGTTTAGGGATCTTCCTAATCTCCTAGAGGCCTAACCCTGAAATCAACACCTGGGCACAGTGTCTTCTGTTTATAGTTTGTTGTTGGGCTAATGAGCCTCCTTTTACCTCTGTGGTTTAATATCCTTGTGCTGTATATATGAAATGTTCTCATTTTATAATATTCTTCCTTCCCTTACCCTCCCGCCCCCAACTTCCACCGATATGGGAAATTCACATTTGCCCTTTAAAATCCATTTCAGATTTCATACTTAATTTCCTTGGAAAAACCTCTCTGATTTTCTTTACATGTAGCCATTGACTTTTTTTTTTTTAAGATTTATTTATACATACATACATACATACATACATACATACAAGCACTGGGTACAGTCAGAAGCACGGGAGGGTGAGAGAATTCACCAGAACCAGAGCGGGGAGCAGAGCAGGCAGAAGGACCGAAGTACACTGCTGAGGGGAGCAGCGGGTGGCAGGAGAGGTCTGCGCGCCATGCGGGACCCTCCTCAGGTGGCCGGGGAGCAGCCGGGGATCGCACCGGTGCTGCAGAGGCTGCGGGCAGCTTTGCACCCAGCGCTCAACCGCTGCACCACCCCACCGGGGAGGCCCTAAAGATTTATTTATACAAGCACCAGGGTACAGGCCAGATATGTGGGAGGGTGAGAGGATTCACCAGAGACAGAGCAGGGAACAGAATAGGCAGACTGATGAAATACACTGCTGAGGGGAGCAGTGGGCAAGACAGGAGAGGTCTGCTGCGCCAAGTGGGTTTCTCCCCAACTGGCCAGGATCGAACCCACGCCGCAGAGGCTGCAAACAGGGACAGCTTCACAGTGTGGTGCTCAACTGCCTGCGCCACCAGCGAGGCCCTCTATGTATAGTTTTTCAGAGAGTGTCACTCACTGAGATTTCGTTTCAGAAGATCAGGAATCTGTATTTTAAAGAAAACTCCCCAAGTAACTTCACTGTGCTCCCTGGTTGAAGATCTTTGTCATTGCCCCAGGAATCTGTTGTGTCTTTTTGTTCAGTGCGGTTAGCTGTGCCTTGTGGAATTCTGTTCTGGTCTCTTTGCCCATACCTTGAGAGGCAGTAATATTTAGTAGTTAGAAGCATGGACTGTGGAGTCAGAAAGTCTTGGATTCAGTTCTTGACTTTTTATGAGGTCTTGACGCTCTTTAAGTCCTAATTTGCTCATTCCAAAATAGGAATAATCATGCCTGTTTCATGTGTAGGGAGGAGTGAGATAAATGCATATATGAGGCTTAGCAGTGTTGAAACCACTGTTATTGCCAGTGACTTCTTCCCAAAGTATGTCCCCTGTCCCAAGGAGGTCTCATCTTAGTCTGTATGCTCTAAGACTGAGCCTCGTGTAGGAAATGGCTTTGTGTTATGTGGTCTTGTCAAGGTCATTTCTGGTCATCAGGGGAAGCTCTGACAAAACTGTTTCTACTCAGGGCAGTTGCATTTGGCCATCCCCTAGAAGAGATTTGGAATGCTGACTCCCTAGAGAGTAGGTTTGCTGAATAAGCACATTGTCTGGGTCTAATTGCAGTTTTTCTGCTTGTTAAGTTGTATAAATGAGCTAAGGAAACTGCAGCTTTCAGGAAACCTGTTTGCCGCTGCCACTGAGTTAGCGTTGGGTCTCACCTGGGATGGAATACCACTGTGGATCTTAATGTCGATGGAATCTGAAATCAATGTGGTGTTCCCTGTGAGTCATGAGTTTGTAGTTAAGTACAAGACTTTGCTTGACCTTCTGTTTTATTTTGTAAGTGTGAGCATGTTATATGGGCAACTTAGATCCTCTTCAGAGCGTGTCCCAACTGAATGGCATGGATGGGCTATAGGTGTGCCAAAGTGTCAACCCTTAAGCCTCAAGAGCCTTGAAAGCAGCTGTTTGCACTGACCCCGGGGTGCATGAAGAAAAATTGGAGAAGTACAATCCTGGAAGAAGGGAAACAATTCTACTTGTTGAAAGCTGGAGAGAGACTTACTTATTTGAACTCCCTTTCCTTCCAAGAATCTTACTCAGTATTAAACAGATTTGTGTTGGCTAGGTCGTCACTGAGCTAATTCTTGGTACAGCCCTCTGTTGCTATGGTGTCTGATATGATGCTAAAGTAGAAAAATGTGGTGTTTTCATTTTCTGAGGGAAAATTATCTCAGTGGGACCCTTTTAGGCTGCCAACCTTGAAATGGAATCTCAGGGCATCATAAGAGTAATGGATCAAGGGACTCGTGGTATGGAATCATCTGGACTGTAAGTTCTTTGAGAGCAGAGGCTATGGCTCCTTCTTTTTATCGATAACAGCTCCTGGCAGAGTTCCTGGCCCACAGCAGGAGCTCAGTAAATATTTGTGGGTTGAACTTTGGGATTTTGGAAGGAGATCCCCAGGTCTGTTGCCAGAGTCTGTATTTCTGATAGTGGGATGGGCAATGGGTAGGCGTCTTAGATGGGTCTGGGGTCACAATAAAACAGACACAGCCAACTTTGGAACTCTTCCCTCTCTCAGCTTTAGGACAGGAGTATCTACACACCAGTTATTACCAGGTAGAGCAGTGAGGCCTAGCTGAAATCCTTGAGAAGTGGAGTCCTGAGTTACTATTTTCTAAAAGGAAGTGATAATTTCTATTTAAATAATATTAAATGTCAAAGCATCATAGGATTGAATCATGCACAGTTATCTTTTTTTTTTTTTTAAGATTTTTATTAACACAAGAGCTGGGGTACAGGCCAGAGATGGGGGGGGCAAGAGGATTCACCAGAGACAGAGTGGGGAACAGAACAGGCAGACTGACCGAAGTACACTTCTGAGGGGAGCAGCGGATGAGACTGGAGAGGTCTGCCGCACCATGTGGGTTGCTCCTTGGCCGGCCAGGGATCGAACCTGCGCTGCAGAGGCTGCTTCATAGTGCAGTGCTTAGCCCTTGAGCCACCAGTTATCTTTAGACAGACACTGTAATAATTTTGTGTATGTTCTTCCAGGTTTTTTCCTTGTACTAGTCTGTACATTTCTATAACATGTATTTTAGTTAATTCAAAAACATAGTGAATATTTTAAAATACAGCAGCAGCACAGAAATACGTGAGTGAGAAGTTCGAGTCCCCTAAGCCTTCCACCCGTTACCGTCACATTCTGACCTCCTAGAGGCAGTCACTATCAGCAGTCTCTTCTACCTTTCCAGGGTTTTTATACTTTTTTTTTAACACTCATTGAACATATGCTTTGCATACTAATTTAAGATCATTTAATACTGGGCCTCCCCGGTGGCGCAGCGGTTGAGCACTGGGTTGCAAAGCTGCCCGCGGCCTCTGTGGCACCGGTTCGATCCCCAGCTGCTCCCCGGCCACCGGAGGAGGGTCCCACATGGCGCGCAGACCTCTCCTGCCGCCCGCTGCTCCCCTCAGCAGTGTACTTCGGTCCTTCTGCCTGCTCTGCTCCCCGCTCTGGCTCTGGTGAATTCTCTCACCCTCCCGCGCTTCTAACTGTACCCAGTGCATGTATAAACAAAAACAAACAAACAAACAAACAAACAAATAAATACATAAATAAAACATGTCTCTATAAAAAAGAAAAAAAAATCATTTAATACTTCTGTATATGAATCCTGGCAGAGCCACTCAATAAAATTAAGTTACTGATACCTTTCTTTGTCAGTATATATGGATTTATCTCATTCTTTTCAACAGCTGCAGAACAATTCATTATATGAATATATTTTATTTAATCATTCCCTTACTGCTGTGTGTTTGGATTGTTTCCATTTTTTTTTCTGTTTTTTTCTCTTTAAGATTTATTTATTTATACAAGCACTGGGGTACAGTCCAGAGGTGCGGAGGGTGAGAGAATTCACCAGAGACAGCAGAAAAGGCAGAAGGACCGAAGTACACTGCTGAGAGGGAGCAGCAGGCGAGGCAGGAGAGGTCTGCTGCGCCATGTGGGGATCTCCCTGGCCGGCTGGGAATCAAACCAGCACTGCAGAGACTGCGGACAGCTTCACAGCACTGCGCTCAACCCACTGTGCCCTCCATTTTTTCATTATCAAATGGGAGGCCCTCCATTTTTTCATTATCAGAAAGAATGCTGCTCTGAACTTTCTTGACAAATGTATCTGTGGTTTTTTAGTAGTATTTCTGAAAATGAAATTGGTGGGTCCTATGTCAGTTTCCCTTTTTTATAAAGTAGAATCTTATAATTGCCCGTGAGGTCACAGGACTTATTCAGCTTTTGTTTAAAGTGACAGGATAAGACTGTTTGTTTCATGATGTTTAGAAATGCTATTGAGCAGGTACTTATTTTTTTATTTTTTTATTATTTATTTTTTTTGTGGGACCCTCGCCAGTGGCCAGGGAACAGACTGGCGCTGC